TATGGTTAAAATAAAATAATTTCAAAAATAATTTTGTTTCAAACATTTTATTGTATATCATATAACTTGATGTTGAACCTTTCAAACCTCATGAAAATCAAATATTTATTCTTTTCTGGAAATGGGTATGTAATTTTTTTGAAATTTATGAAGTGAGAAGAGCAATGTCTATTTGTTCAAAATAATTATTGGTTTGATTGTTTTAGTAACTGTTGATACTGTTTGTCAAACGTTTTCAATTAAAAACTGCAACTTCAAATTTCCTTATTTCTGTGGTGTTTAATATATTCAGTACCGATTGTAATTATCTGATTATTTCATAGTTTGTTCATATATTTTTGGCAAACGAAAATGGTAGTCGTACAAGATTTGTTAATTCAACTAACGCAAATAATATTCACTTAAGCATGTTTAATTCTTTTTGAGATCAAATTTAAATTGATCTGCCTTGCATACTCTTTATGTACTTCTGTAATGATGATTTTACATGCTGCTTGGAATTAAGTGTGAGACTTCATGATTGCATGCACAGGAATTGCTGTATTATTTTTCAAATCAGTGATTGAAAATGCATTATCCTTCAGAAATTACACTGACATGATGTAGTTGTTTAGAGAGGTATTTTTATTTTCCTTTAATTTCCTTGAAGTTTCAAATTAATATTTCGATCGCTGGGTAAATATTTTTCACTATTTCAAGAATATGTAAAAAAATACTAGTATTTATTGAACTAAAAATTAGTATGTGAAAAAATTTGAAAGAGACATCTGTGACACTTAATAGGTCTAATTTCATTCCATTTGCTTGTTATCATTCTAGAAAACAAGTGTGAAAATTAATATTGCGTAAACAAGTGAACAATTTTATAAACTAGATTCCATTATGTAGAAATATATGAATAATGTTTTCTTTCCATGGTACATATTAATATGAAAGTAATGTTTCTGTCCTCTAGATATATTGGAAACTGGAAAACGGATTTCAAAATTTGTTCTTGTAACCTTGACATGAAAATAAATTTGAAATTTTAAAAAAATGCTTAAATATTTTAATGGTAATGAGGCTTTTATTACTTCAGTGTAGAGAAGATGTTTGCATTGTTTAGGTTATTTATAAAAAAAAATTATTTGTTACATTTTGATTTATTATTTGTAGTTTAATTTATTTTCAGTTGTATTTTTTAAAGTAATAATAATAATAAAAAAATCAGTTTTGTTTGAAAATCTTGTTATTAAACAGGATATTACTTTTGCATGATTCTATTACATTATATGTTTTTGCCATGCATAAACTGTGGGAGTTGTATACTCTTTGTTCATGATTTGAGCTTCTAGATCAAATGTAATTGATGTATGACAGTTCTTTCTGATTTATGCATTTTCAGTGTAAATAAAATTTAAACTGAATTATTAATTTATAATAGTATAAAAATGAGTGAGTGTTAATGTTTTCTTTATCAACCTGGCAGACAACCTAACAATTTCTAGGATGTCACTGAAACATTGGGGCACACCAGTAACAAATTCCTTTCCTTGTTAAGTTGAAACGGTGTTGTTGTGGTGGTGTTTGTTGTTGTTGTTGCTGTTGTTGTGGTTGTTGTTGTGGTTGTTGTTGTGGTTGTTGTTGTGGTTGTTGTTGTTGTTGTTGTTGTTGTTGTTGTTGTTGTGGTTTCCTTTGTGTCGGTTTAGATTTGAAAATTATTTCACTTTTCATTTGCTCAACTTGTTGCTTGGCAATATTCAGTATTTAATTCCAGTTTCATAGGTTATTTTGAAAAGTGTTATTTCAGTAGTGAGTAGTATAAACAAATAAGATGATGAATTTCTGTATTTTGTTTGTTTATGTTGTGATACGAGTCTATTATGAAGTGGTAACAATTGTAATACATTTTCATATGTTAATATAAATTGAGTTATAAAAATTCTTAATATTTTGATTTTGATTTTTGCATGTATTATGAAAAAGTGTGTTAGAAAAATATGTTGATCATAAATGTTATTTGAAATGAAAACAGTATGAACTAAAACCTAAGAACACATTCAGAATGAGATAGTTGATGTCTTCATAAGCCAGGGATCAATGTTAAGTTCCTTGAAAATTTTCAATGAACATTTCTATGAAGTGTAATTATCCAAATACTGCAACGTAAATGTCAAAAGTGCTCCTACAAATGCATCCAGATAAATGTATTGTGATTTCACTAATTTTCATAAAAATATAATTTCACAAATTTATTTTATCAAATTTATTATATAATGTTACTTTTTATTAGTTCTACTGGTTTGAGATGAATGGAAATCGTGTTTTTGTGTGTTTGGGTGGCTAACATTTTCAATATTTGTTTTTTATACAAAGTACTGGGCATATAACAATTACATTTGTCACACCCAAACAGATCTGCAATGGTTTTTGTTGTAATTTTAAATAGTTGTAATGACAATAAAACTATGAGCATTTCTTCTTCTTGTGTTAAATGTTTCACTTCAGCATACAAATTGTAGATGCATTCACAAATTTGCATGCCTGTAATAGCAAGTTTTATAATTTGGTGTGCCATTGCTGAAGTAGTCCTTACTGCATGTGTTTTTACTGTAATATTCATGTATGGATTTCTGGTTGTGTTAGTTGAAAAATTAGTTGAATAGTAGTTTTATGAAAAGAGTAGATGATTTAGAAATGGCAAATGCAAATAAAGAATAGTTGTTCTTACAGTAATAAATTCAAAAGATAAATAAATTACCTGCCATTGTTGCAATCTATGTTGGATTATTGAATTAGTTAACATACATTTTTGATGTAGTAGGTATACTAGTATACTACAGAATTAATTTATTAATGTTTTATGGAATTTAAATTTTTTAAACACTTAACATTTGGATAAAAGAAATGTATCTCCTTATTTTTTTAAGTTAAATGTGATACCTTTAATAATTTTTATTTACATTTTTGTGTTGCAACTGTTCATTTTCTAGCAAGTGTTTTCATAGATAAATATTTCCATCATTATTGCTGTTGGAAGTCTGTTCTTAATGCATTAAAAAAATTATTTGAATTTTACTGGAATACTTAAAAATCAGAGTACTTGTATTAGATAATCTTTTTTTTTAAATTTCAGGATAGTGTGTAGCCTAAAGAATTTAATGAGGCATGAAAAGACCTGTTATGTAATGCACATAATATTTTTTGTAGCAGACTCGTATTTTAATAAGCATGTGTCTCAATATTTAACATTGAATATATTATTTCTAGAATAGAATGGTCATAAAGTAGTGAATTCCTCTCCTGTAATACGTTTGGTTTATCACTTGAATCTCCTTAGTGAGATAATTTTGGTAATGCTTAATAGTAGTGTAATTATAATGATTGACATATAATTTACATATTATATCTAATGAATAGCATGTTGTGACACGATTACTTCCTCAAGAAGTGTACCAGAAATTCACATTATCACTATTTGAGCAAATTCTTTTATACAAATTGAACAAAATAAAAAAGTAACAAAAAATTCTGACTTTATTGCATTATATTATTTAAATAATTATTAACACTGAGAGTAGCTTCTACAAAGAAATTGTAATGAATATTATAATTGTAATTATATTTGACAAATCTGAATAAGCAATTATTATTAAATTAATGGATGAAGCAGACTTCAATTTGACTAAGCTTTTGATGATCAACACAGTGAGAACATACTTGTCTTTGAAGCAACACCAATTGCATACAATATACTCCTATTGACTATTCTTCTAATAGTTGCTGTGCAAGATAAGGCTCTTACGTTCATTAGATTGGATTACCTTTCCATTACTATTGTAGATATTACTGTATGTAAATCAAACAATGAACCACAACAATTTTACACACGCACATGCGCACACAAACACAATATCTTGGTCTTCAATGTAATTCAAATTCTCTACTCTTCCCTCTCTCTCTCCCCTCTCTTCTCCTCCCTTCTCTCTCTCTCTCTCCTCCTTCTCTGCTCTCTCTCCTCTCGTCTCTCCCTCTTCTCTCTTCCTCTCTTCTCCCTTCTCTCGTCTGTCCTTCTCTCTCTCTCTCTCCCTTTCTCTCTCTCTCCTCCAGCCTTCTCTCTCTCTCCTCCCTTCTCTCTCTCTCTCTCTCACCTTCTTCCTCTCTCTCTCTCTCGTCCTTCTCTCTCTCTCTCTCCCCTTCTCTCTCTCTCTCTCCCACTCTCTCTCTCTCTCTCCTTTCTCTCTCTCTCTCCCTTCTCTCTCTCTCTCCTTCTCCTCTCTCATCTCTCCCTTCTCTCTCTCTCTCATCACCTTCTCTCTCTCTCCTCCTTCTCTCTCTCTCTCTCCCTCTCTCCTCTCTCTCATTCCCTTCTCTCTCTCTCTCTACCCTTCTCTCTCTCTCTCCCTTCTCTCTCTCTCTCTAACCTTCTCCTCTCTCTCTCTCCCTATCTCTCTCTCGTCTCTCTCTCGACCTTCTCTCTCTCTCCTCTCTCCCTTCTCTCTCTCTCTCCCTTCTCTCTCTTCTCTCCTTCTCTCTCTCTCTCTCCCCTCTCTCTCTCTCTCGCCTTCTCTCTCTCTCTCCTTCTCTTTTTCCTTTTACATAAGTTTTTCTTTTTCAGCTGAATGATTTTGTTGAATTTCTGGTACATTCTTTGTGAATTTGTGACTTGAATTTTTAATACATAAACTCAAAGGGAAGGAAATATTATTTTACAAGCAGTTTTTAAAAGTTGTAAAGAAATTTCAAAAGAAATTTCAAGTGTTCCAATAAAAGTATATTGAATGGATAGAATGATGTTTTCAAGTCACAAATGCATTACCTTCAAGCTTGCTTCTATTTTGTTATTGTTAATGATTGTAAAGCACCGTCAACTGAAGACATCCATCATTGCCAGAAATATTTTGATCCACACTATGCTCTCATTTTCTGGGCCCCATGTATCGTGGCAACCTGTGTGAAAGCCTGAGTCGTGGGTCTCAAGCCCAGGCAAGTGGCTTATATGTTGAGGGTTGTGTTGCCAGGCTGATTATGGCCTCTACTACCCATACTCCTCGCAGATGGCAGATCCCAGCCGGGAGGAGGAACAGGTGACGCTGCTCGGCGAGGAGGGTCTCCGAGCTGGTGGACAACCCATGAAACTGGGGTAAATGTTCCGTCCTGATAGCATTATTATTTACTCAACTGCAGCAGATGGTGAAATGTCGTTAAGTATGGTCAACAGTGAAGAACAAATATAAAAATAAAATAAAAATTTAATAAATGGTGCCTCTCAGTACACGTGTATGTGTCATTTTAATGTACTACTTGCTTCAGTCTGTATGGTAGTCTTGGCCATTTATTCAAACTTCTTTTGCTGTTTCTGTGTCATGAAAGGAAATAAATTGGAAAGTTCATGTGAAAATATTTTAACTACATGTTACAAGAGCATTTACTTGTAATAATTTCAGGATCACCTTTTAATTCTTTAGCATTATTGTGTCTAGATAGATTATGTAGAACATTTAAAATTTATTTCTAATTGATTGTTCTGTAATTAATGTGCTAAGACATTGCTAGTGCTTGTATGTGGATCTCTTTCTTTTAATGTGTTAGAGCTAATTTTTAATTTGACTGTCCACGGAATTTGCAGTGAAGAAATGGTGCGGCCATTGGGTTGTTTTTGAAGGCACTGCCTTTTGCATCGTTGGTTTGTGCATGATAATGAATGCTGTGCTTGAGAATGGGATGCTTTCTCCTCCCCTTGCATATATACCACCTTTGCATCCCTGCCTTGTAATCTTCTCATATTGTTTTTATTTGTCAACTCATTGTATTTCAAGATTGTCTTGTCAACTTTCTCTAATTTTACTAATCCAATCAAAACAAACACTTGTATATAATTTGGTAACATTTCATTCTATTATTATATAATGTTTCAGTATTCTCCATTTCATTATTAACTTCTTTCTTTCTATTTTTTGGGTGTTCTTTTACATCAAATACATGGCAGCCTTCAAAGAGAAATCAGTAATGAAAGATACATGAGTGGGTCTCTCTTGTCATTAATTTTTTTTTTCTTCTTCGTCCATTATCTTGCTAAGAAGAATAAATGTTTTTTTTTGTACTTTTGTTTAATCGTTTATTAAAACTAAATATTAATTTTGAACTTCTTTTCAATTTTATTATTTGCCATGCATTATTTGTAATATTATCCAAGTGTGTTTACAGATGCCTCTTATGGAAATAATTATAAAAATCTCATTGCTTGGCAGAGTTAAAAATTATATTTCGAGGAATTGTTAAACATGCAGACTATCAATATGCTTGTTCTGTCTCCTTTTGTCTGTTATTGTTTTCATTGAATAGTTGTTTGCTTTTAATATTTTTGTTGGGTCTTTATGTATCATTCCCTATTCCACTACTGTTATACAAAGAGAAAAATTGCTTTACTGTTCTTTGAAAATCCTTCTGAGTACCTAACACAAGAAATTGAAATGACATGTGATAACGTAATTGATTGATGAATTGATGATTGATAATTGAATGTGATAACGATTAGGTTTTGGGTGTTTTTGAAACAATTGTTTCACACCTAGTAATATAAAACCATTCAGCAAATGAAACTCAGGAGATCATATTTAGATTCTACTTCTTTTCTTTAGAATCTATGTATATTTATAAATACATAATTGTAAGTCTGAAAGTAGATATGTTTTCACCAGTTTGGAATTAAGTTTTTTTTTAATGGTATTGATTTTGCACTTGTACACTTTTTAAGGGGTGTTTTTTGTTCATTCCTTTCATAATTGTATTCCTTTGAAGGTTGATTGCATTGACTGTAGTCTTTTAAGAACTTCATTTATCATCGTGGTTTATTTCAAGAAATAATTATACTGTATTTTTAGTGTTGTGATATGTATAAATCCATTTGTTTATAATTACATATAATCACTGTATTTATGAACAACCTGTAGATGTAAAGGTACTTTTTTTACGGTAGTATGGTTAAGTTAGAACTAGCCTTAACCGTACAATAATTATAATGTCATAAAGTGATGGGAATGTTGTGTGGTCTTGCTATATTGTGTGTTCATGAAAGTGATACATATAGCTGTAAATTGGGTAAATGTTTATTCTCTGTGACTCACTGTAATGCACCCAACATATGTCCATTTCAGCTTGAACCCATTCCTTCATGCAGTCTTGAAAGTAACAGTTAAAGCAATTAAAAATAAATTTATTAATTCACGGATGATGAATTACTTCAATTTCAATGTATGAATCATTTCCATAGCTGATCTTTTTAAATACAATATTTATAGGATTCTTTCTTTCCTTTTGGGGGGGGGGGGAGATCAGTTTTTCAAAATATTTGTTGCACTTTTAGAGACTTAATAGCCAAAACTATTCAGCCACTGATAGTTTTAAGACACACATGTCTGCCACAACCTTTAGTGACTAAGAGAGGTAGAACTGTATTACTCAACTCAGACATCCTTTCTTCCCTAAACATTTGTAAGTTGGAATGTTGCAACACAATTGGAGTTGAAGTAATTTCTTGGCAAATTGTTATTTTTTGAGGATTATTGACAAACAGTGTCCGTCTTTACCATAAAATTTCCTAAAACAGTTCATAACTGATACTTTCCAATTCCTTTGAAATTTCATTAATCCTGCAAGGCATGGGATTGCTAATTGATGTAGTGTATTGTGTTTTGTCATTCTCCCCCTTTTGTGGTGTTTTTGCGTAGCAGGAGGGGGGAGTGAATCCAACTGAGTCTATGACAAGGGCTCTGATTAGTGATGACTCAATTGCTCGACAAGCTCCATCAGGCCCAGTCCAGTTAGGGTATGTATGGCCTTTTCTGGAAGCGGTAGTTTAGGAGCACTAACATTACCTTGTAGATGCTCATACTGACACAGGAATTATTCATTGCAGTTAATACTTTATAATAATACTTTTGAAGAAATAAATGATCATATTCTGTAGATCTTCAATGACATTGAACATTTCTGCAAAATAGCACTTTCCACTTTCAAATCTAAGGATTAAAATTTGGCTTTTTTTTTTAAAAAAAACAACATTGTTTTTCAGGTGCTTTAAGTATTTCCCCTCTTTTCTCAAACTTTGTCTTTCTATTGTAAGCTGATAAAATTAAAACATCTTTTAAGACAGGTTGTTAAAGTATGAGAACTATTTGGGATAGTCCCCATTCTCTATTGTTAGCTAATAAAATTAAATGTCTTTTAAGACAGATTGTTGTTGTATGAGAACTATTTGGGATAGTCCTTGTTTTCTCCATAATAAAGACTTAACAGAATTCCTAATAATTTTTGTTTCTTTGAAGATTGGGGGCCACTTCATGAAGAAAGTCAATTACTGTTATTTTAAAACAAAAATATAATGAATACAGCAAATGAATTTTGTTCAGGATTCATACATGTTTAAATAGACAAAAAAGATGTTGCAAGAAATTGCTGAGCAAGTAATATCTCCCTGATGGTACTGTGTGTTTTTGTGGTAATTTAGGAGCATACTTTTATCATCTGTGAATTTGATGCAGTTCACCGTTAACCAAAGCATTAATTGATGTAAGATTTTTGTGCAACAAGTAGTATTTTGTATTTGTAATTTCAGACACAAGAAAACAAACAGTATCAGTAGGGTTTGGGATAGTAATAAAGTTGGAGTTCCTTTTTTTGAAATTTTTGTAGTTCTATTGTATATTGCAAGCTTTGCATGATAGTTTTGTTGTCAGACGCCTGCAAAAACAGCTCCTGGCCCATCAATTTTCATGATAATTGTACTTGTTTCTTCTAAAGAGTTCTACTTAGTTTTCAGTCCAGTATTTATTTAGAAAAGATTTTAATTATAATATTCTTTTACATCAAGCTTTGTAGCTGGTGTCATTCTGAGGGAAAGAATTCCTGCTTTTGAACGGATGCTCTGGCGAGCATGTCGTGGAAATGTATTTTTGCGTCAGGCAGAAATCGAAACTCCTTTGGAAGATCCATCAAATGTAAGAATTTTTTAAAAAATTCATTGAATAGATTTTTCTTGTTTGATATTTTGATTTTACTGATTAATATCATGTTGTTTCAGGGAGATGAAGTTTTTAAATCTGTGTTCATCATATTCTTCCAAGGTGATCAATTGAAAACTCGTGTAAAAAAAATTTGTGAAGGATTTCGGGCAACCTTGTACCCTTGTCCAGAAGCTCCAGCTGATAGGCGAGAAATGGCTATGGGTGTAATGACACGTATTGAGGATCTGAACACAGTATGAAAGTCTATTCTTGAAATGCATTATAGCACTTTCAAAGATCATGCATCTTCACTACATATGGTTCCCTTTGCATTCTTTTTGTAGGTTTTGGGACAGACTCAAGACCATCGACATCGTGTACTTGTTGCTGCTGCAAAAAATATAAAAAATTGGTTTGTCAAAGTTCGTAAGATAAAGGCTATTTACCACACATTAAACAATTTTAATTTAGATGTTACCCAGAAATGTCTAATTGCTGAGTGTTGGGTGCCTGTCCAAGACTTGGAAACAATACAATTGGCTCTTCGCAGAGGGACAGTGAGTTTATTTTTTTCCACATCATTTTTAAAATGTTTGACATGTGGTAATTTTTAAATTAATTTTCTTGAATATTAGGAAAGAAGTGGAAGCTCTGTACCTCCAATATTAAATAGAATGGACACATTTGAGGACCCTCCAACCTACAATCGAACTAATAAATTTACAAGTGCTTTTCAAGTTCTTATTGATGCTTATGGTGTTGCAACATATCGTGAGGTCAATCCAGGTTGGTTTATTGAGTTTTGAAACAGACTGAACTTCTTTTGTGCTGTGAATGTGTTCATCGCTCACAAATTTGCTTTTGCAGCTCCCTACACCATTATTACTTTTCCCTTCCTCTTTGCTGTAATGTTTGGTGATGTGGGACACGGCTTGATTATTTTCTTGTTTGGGCTGTGGATGGTGTTGAAGGAAAAACCTCTTGCTGCTAAAAAATCAACAAATGAGGTTTGTTAAAAAAGTTTCTCTTCTAGTTTGTTTAGTAATTAAGAAGAAATTCTTTTATTTTAAAATAACCACTTACATTTGCCTGAAAATTGTTTTATTTAACAATGTATTACGAGATGGTTTTGTTTCCAGATTTGGAATATTTTCTTTGGTGGCCGTTATGTTATCTTGCTGATGGGTGCTTTTTCAATGTATACTGGTCTTATTTATAATGATATGTTTTCTAAATCTTTAAACATATTTGGTTCTTATTGGTATGTTGATTATAATGTATCAACAATTCATGGAAATGGAAACTTGCAGTTGGACCCAAAATCTATGTATGTTAATCATCCATATCCTTTTGGAATGGATCCTATTTGGCAGGTTTGTAAAGCTTTTCTTTTCTTTTCAATTTCTTTTGGTAATCAGTGAGAAAAAGTTCAATATATGTATGTAATATACAACAAAATCTAATATACTCATATTTCAAAAAGTCAAAATGGTTCATATAATAATAATAATAAAAATAATAATAGTAATAATATTTTTTATTGTTCAGGTTACTTGAGATACAAGTTTCAAACAATATGATTCGGGTCTTATATTAAGATAATTACTTTCAATACTTACAATTATATTAAGGTATTGTATAAATTGGTATTACGACTAGCAAATTCAGAATATTGTTGTATTTATATGTTGATGTTAGGCATTGCACAGTTAAGTATTTAAATTTAAATTCTAGAACAGATAACACAGGAATAATATATATTTCTATTATGACAGAACCGAATATCGTAGATATTTATGAGAGTATATGTTAAATAATAAAATTATTAAAGATATTAATTATGTTTGATGGTGTACATTCCAAATGTGCATTAATGTTATAAATAAATTGTATTAATTTTGCAAGCATCAAACAATAACAATAATATTAACTATAATCCTTTTATTTCACTTAATTTATATGAGTAAGTCTCACTTAGGTAGGTTTTTAATAATCTTTTGGATCTGTCTTTCCTTGTTTTAATATTATTATGTAATTTGTTATACAGTTTTATTTTCTTTTCTAAAGGGATCTTTATTTTTTGGCGTGTTCTCTACATACATCCTACTATACACACAATGCTACTACAGTCAATATTTCATATTCTTTATATACATTTTTGCATGATTGTTTGGGTTTTATATTAAAAATGCATCTGATTGCTCTTTTCTGAAGTATGATAAGTATGTCAATATTCCTATTACATGTGGCCCCCATATTTCTATACTGTATTGAATATGTGAATGAATGATTCCATAATATATTGACATAAGCATATCTGATGCCATGTTATTTTTAAGATTTCTTAAAATGAATATATTAGTACTTTATGTATTACAGACTTCTTCAATATGTATATTGTAGGTTAAATACTCATCAGTATAAATTCCTAGAATCTTGTGACGTTCAGTTTGGTTGATACCCTTGTTATTGATTTTGTTGCCTATGTTTTTATGGTTACAATGTCAGACATGTATTATTTGAATTTTGTTTGCATTTAGAAGTAGGTTGTTATTTGTCAAGTATTTATACTGTTCTTCATGTGTTTATAATTAGTAAAAATATTTATCTCACAGATCTCATATGAAATTACTATGAATCTCTTTTATCATTAACCTGAGTTGCACTTAAATCTTGCAGTACTAATCTGAATGCTAAAAAATAATTATCTAAACAGGATTTCAAAGGCAGTCTTTGAACAATCCTCTGGGGGGAGCATTCTGTTGGTTCACAATTAGATTGGCAATGAAATGTGTAATAGGATCATCTTTATTCTTTTTCTTCAATATCGTAGAATATTTACAAATTCTAGTATCTATGGCTAGTTTGAAAAGGATGTCCTAGCAAAATGCTTTATTTATCTGGGTGAATGTTGACCAGGCTTCTCTCAAACATAGATCTTTAATATTTTCAGGGCCATATTGATTGCATGGGAAAATGATAACTTCTCATCAAAACTGTCTTAGGACTTCTGTGATGCATCTCTGTAGGCCCATTTCCTCAAGCAATGACAACAATTTTTAATTTTGAGGTTGGACAGATCTGGATGTATGTCCAGTTAGCAACAAAAACTTATAACTTAAACATTTGTTCGCGTTATTGATTGGTCTTCAACATATTCACAACAAACAGGACTCAGAGTGTAGGTTGATGTCAGTGACTGACAGTCTCTGACTGAGAGGTCTTAGAGTTAGATTCCCGATGGTGGAAATATTTTCAACACCAGCTAGAGTGCTTTGTTGAATTCAGCCACTGTCTGGAGGAGATTTCTAATGGCCAGTTGTTCTGATTAGTAGTTTTTCATGATTTACCCGATCAACACCAGGCAAATGTTAGAGTAGTGCCCTAACAAACAGACAGACCCCAGATGGATAAAACATGCACAACACTTGTGGGACTAATGACCTTGGCAGTTGACGTGCCTGGAACCTTTTGAAATGTGATGTCCTAAAAACCCTTTGACAATCTTATCAAGGGCTATAAGATATTTTCTTGTCTTTGCTTTGGAAATATTAAGCATGTTGAAGCAGTGTTATACTTTAAAAAAAAATTCTTGTTATTAACCAATTTTATTTAGAACTGTTTTTGATGCAGTATTATAAATGTTATTATTTGTGTGAATAAGTACATATGTCATTTGTAGTGTTTGTGTGGATGTATACCTATGTCATTATTTACCTGAGATATGTTCCTTTTTGTAATGAAAATTATTAAACTGAATTTTTTCAAATTAATGAGGTTCAAAACAATAATATAAATTTAAATATTTTAGCTTGCAGATAATAAAATCATTTTCTTAAATGCCTACAAGATGAAGATCTCAATAATTTTTGGTGTGGCACACATGTTGTTTGGAGTGTCATTGAGTTTGTGGAATAATCAGTAAGTTGTTGTTTTCTTTTATTCAAACTCAAATGCAGTTTTGTCAATTTGTGCGTGTCTCTAGCTAACAATTATTAACCCTTTTTTCTTTCTTTCTTTGGAAATAGGTACTTCCAGAGAAAGACAAACATTTACACAGAGTTTATCCCTCAAGTTATTTTCATGTGCTTTCTTTTCATGTGGATGTGCATTTTGATGTTTATTAAATGGATAAAATACAGTGCACATAATGAAGGTGAGAAATTTTTTGTTTGAATTCAATTTCATTTACTGTAAAATTCATTTTTGCATGTTAAATTATTACACCGTTTTAAACTATGTTAATAGGTATTACTTTTAGTGAATATTAATCCTTAATTTTGAACTATTGTTTTAGATATTGAAGTAACTCCATATTGTGCTCCATCAATCCTCATCACTTTTATTAATATGTGTCTATTTAAAAAGGGTACTCCTTTGCCCAAATGCCCTGAATGGATGTTTCCTGGTCAGGTAATATTATCACAATGAGATTTTCACTTATATTTCAGAGGCAGAGCACTGAAGATATTAAACTAAGTGTTATTAATATTATAATTAAATATGAATGAAAAGTTTATATAAAAAGTAACACGTAATGAATGTATCTTATGAATAGTTTGCTAGTTTATTTGAAATTTGACTTTCTAATCTTTTGAACATTAAAGCGTAAGTGATGAAACAAAATTAAGTGATTGAAGTTCATATTATAATAATCACTGGTGAGAAGAAGCTGGGCTAACTGCAAAATGGAGGAGGCTAGTACATCGATTCGGACACAGTGTATAAACCAAAAGAATTATACAATTTTCAGCAACATTAGTAATATAATTTATAGCAAGCTGTTCAGTTTCAGCTTATCTCCCCTTTTCCAGTCTTGATAAATATTTTAGGAAAGATTTTACTTGACAATTTATTTTGATTTATAAAATAATTCCTTTTAAACAAACCCATATTACGTATTTATTTCATCAGATATAATTCATAAATAATTATGTAATTTCCAAATTTCTGAAAATTAGTATTCAAGAGTGAAGAAGAATTCCTTTGATAATTATACAAATCGTTTTGATAGATTTTGAACTCTTGTATCTAAAGTTGTGCTTGTTAATTACAAATGGTGGCTTTACTTTAATGCTTTTAAAGCTATTAAATGTTGCTGTATAGTTTTCATCCTATTTTATGTCATCTGTGGAATAATTTATAAAATGAGTGCAACTCCAGACTTCTTGAAATATAACTTAGAGAGATTGCAATATTTATATAAAACTTCATAATTTTCCCACTTTTCTTTAAAGTATTGATAGCACACAGCTTTCTAGAAAAAAAAATTTAATGCAAATCTCTTAGTAATAATCTGTGTGAAATTCAGAACAGTATATTTATATATTTTATATTTTCCTACTAGGGTGGTCTTCAGCAACTGTTTCTTATCATTGCTCTTCTCTGCATCCCATGGATGTTGCTGGCCAAGCCATTATTGATAATAAGAGGTCAACGTAAACAACACATGCCTGTGAGTATGCTATGTTCTAATTAAAGAAGTGTCTACAATATTAATGATTTCATTATTTTATTACGAAGTGTTTTTATTCACATTTTCTCTTCATTGTAGTTGACAAATTCTAGTAATCATCATGCACCAGGTACAGAACCAGAGAATACCGACTTGGAATCTCAGACAGTTGCTTTACCACACAAAGAGGAAGAAGACAATAATATTGGAGAAATTATGATTCACCAAGGCATTCATACCATTGAATATGTTTTGGGTTCTGTATCTCATACTGCCTCATACCTAAGACTTTGGGCTCTCTCATTGGCACATGCACGTAAGTGTGCATTTGGTGATTTGTTTTGACAATAATGTATGTCTATAATGGAAAAAGAACTTGTTTCTCTACTTTTCAACTCTGATTTGTAATGTTGAGCTATTTTTCATTCTTGAAATTATACATTTTGCATATTTTGTTTCAGAACTTTCAGAAGTGCTGTGGAAAATGGTGTTAGGAAATGCAATGAAAATGCAAGGCTGGGCAGGGGGTATTGCTGTATGGATTATTTTTGCCTTTTGGGCGGTATTAACCATTGGCATCCTTGTACTTATGGAAGGTTTATCTGCTTTTCTCCATACCCTACGTTTACATTGGTGAGTTATTTGTTTGTTAATAAAATGTTAGAAGTTAACGAACTATGATACGATGTTTTAAGTGATGGAAGTCTTGATTTGGTACAACAGTAGAACAGGGTTAGAGTTGATTGTAAGGATATATTATTAATCCTAGCATGCGTAATGTTGAAACAATAATGAAGTTTTGTAAAACAATGACAATAATGGGTAGTTTATCAGGTAGTGAGAATTGGATCATATCATCAGCAGCATAATCATTATCATCATCAAGTTTTCAAGAATTACAGATGAGGTTCCTGCACTCAGGATGGTTTTGCTACCCCATGAACAAATGAGAGAAACAGCAAGTTTACAGGTTTATTTATGTAAAATATGATGATATATGGTTGCAGTGTTTAATGAGTGTCAGAAAAAAACTAGTGGTGCTTCAGAATGGCACAGACTTTCTCATAGTAGTTTTCTTATTTCCTTGGTGTGGTCTGGCTTTACGGTCTTGCCCCGTGCTCTTGCCTGCTGCCATCGATCACTGTCCGAAGTACATTTTTTGAAATTTTCTCCTTTTTTTGGTTGTCTAATAGTAGAACCAAAATATTACTTAAAAATATAAAAGGAGAGTCAAAAGTTGTCATAAAAGGCAATTTTCATTGAAAAATTTGGAGCTGTTTTTAAGAAAATGGTTTGCAAGCATTATTGTAAATGTGAATTTTGAAGCTCTTTTTTCACAGAAGAGTTTTCAAAAACTTCATTTAAAGTCGTTTGCAGTACTTCAAATTGCAAATGCAATAGTGTTTACAAATTCCTGGAAATGTGCATATTAACAGCATGAGAGATATTATAAAAATAATTTTTAAAAAATAATAAAATTTGAAAATAATAATTTTGGAGAAAAAAAAACCACAAAAGAATACAGCAAAATGAACTTTGTCATTTTTAATAGTGCAATTAGCACTACCCATTGGAAAAAGTTAAAGAAACAGCCATTTCACACTATGATGTTTGAATGTTGCTGAAAATGCGGAAATTTGAGCTTATTTTAACAGAAAACATTGAGTTTTCAAGAAACTTTGACATTATTTAAAACAAATGTACTCATAAATACAGTAAGGTGAACAAATTGCAGCTTATGTAAATATTAAGAATGTGAGAGACAAGTAAAGAACATAACATTTTTGTAATTTTTGAAAAAACATAAGAATTGAAGTAACTGACATTTGTCATCTCATAGACTGCATTTAGCACTATCCCTGCCAAAAGTTTCAAGAAAATATTTGGAACAGTTTCTGAGAAAATCTTGTTTTTGTTATTTTTTAAATTTTACATATTGCGCGAAAAATACTAAAATTTTCAAAAATCTGCACATGACATTAATGAAGGAACTCATGGGGAACAAATTTTATTTGAAGGAAAAATCTTTATTTAGAAAAAATTTTGTAGTGGTATGAAGAGGCCAAAAAAATTCAAAATTTTGCAATTTTCGAAAATTCAGTGATAACCGTGAAAATTGGGCCTATGCCACCTTTATAAGTGTATTTTACTTTATTCTTACAAGAAATTTCAAGAAAAAATTTGGAACAGTTTTGAGAAAATTTCGAAAATATCCGGGGGGCTTCATGTCAAGAACCCCTAAATTTTGAAGAAAGTTTTTCAAATATCCAGTGTCTCAGTCTGGCCAGATTGACCAAGGAATATCCATTTTAGAAAAACTCCAATATATGGTTTAGGTGGTAGTAATAGTCATGGACCGTCAGATGTTAAAAAAAAACATTAAAAAAAAAGTACTATGAGTACCAGGGGACCCCAAAACATTAAAATCTTGTAATTGATTTTCTGCAGCATTACATAATTTTCTCTCTACTATGTATATGAGAAAGTAAAAATACATCACAACATAGACTTCTCACCAAAGAGGAGAAAAGATGTTAGGTCACTCAATTAAGTTAGTGGCAGCAATAAAAATTATTACGCTGCAATGCTCGAAGTTTCAGTGGATGATAATGGTGGTAGTGGTGACTAGGCTCTAAATCCACAGTATGACTGCTAAAACTATTTCTTGGCAGAACAGCCAACGTACAAAACTTTGAATTAAATCTCCCTTTTAAATTTTTCACCTTTACTTCATAGAAGACAAAGTATTGTAATTGTAAGCACCAGAAAACCGCGAATTTTCAACAGAAATACTCGTATTGTTCGGCCCTGTTACAGAAAAAGTGCTTAGATCTTGTTATATACGTAATAAATTACTTCCTCTAGATTTGTGTTGTTAGAATCCGTTTTCCGGGTCCTTGATACTGAAAAATCCATTGACAGCAAAATGTTTCTCTCTCTGTCTACGGTCAGTGCTGGCACCAAAATCATTCAGCCAATTATCTCAAAAATTGATTTCCTCAATGGATTTATGAAGCCCTCTGAGTTTAAAATGGATATTTTTATTTTACGGGTACTGTACATAAAACCTCAAAATTTTCTCAAAAATGGAACCAAGTTTTTTGATCAAAGTTGTCCTTGTATAGCGTAAAGGACACTTAAGAGATTGGTGCCGATCTCATTTTTGTTGAAATCCCCAATTTTTTGAAAATTGCAAAGTTCAAATTATTTTCGATGTCTTACTACAACTACGATATTGAAGATAGAGATTTTCTTCCTTAATGAAATTGTTCTTTAAAGACATGTTGTGAAATGAGGTTGTGTCCAATTTTAAAAACTGAGTAGTTTATATGTATTTTTGTGTGAAATTCGGCAATTAAAAAAATGTAAGAATTATTTTCTCCAAAAAGCTCTAATTTTTTTCTTCTTATGAATCAAAGGTTGGTAAAATATTTGGTGCTAGTATCGTTTCCAACAATCTCTTAGTATTTTCAAAAATTGGAAAAAGTTAACATTTCAAAACTACAAAGTCAAAGATAGAGATATTTGTTTCAAAAATTGAACTCTTTAACCCATTATGCCAGTTTTTTTCCGTTGATAATCCTTTCGACATACTTCACATCCATAATCCACTTTACATCCACAAATATATATACTACAAATGTAGAAAACAAAATTTGATGCATTACTATTTCATGTTAATAATCAAAATCAACCATCTGAATTTTTTAGTAGATAACATACATTCAGTTTAAAAATATAAAAACTAATATCCTACTATTTATGTATTAAGGCTGAAAAGTAACCATTATCAGTTAACCATAGTTCTCCTATGCTACACCTTTGGTGGTAAAAATGTGAATTCAAAAGAATAATACTTTTTAGCTGATGTGCATACTAGTGGTTTTCATTTATAGCTGTAAATTACCAAATGTTGATTATTTAAAAAATTATCCATAATCTTGTAAAACTAATAATCATAATTAGGACTTGTGGCTGATATTTATAACTGGAATTATCAGTGTGACTATTGACTTCTAGCAGTTTAATTAAGATTGTGCAACCCCAAAGCTTAATGGTGTATCATTGGAGAGCAAGACTCAGTAAACAACCATACTAGTAAAGAAAAATGTATTTCTTTCTTTTTAAAATAAATTAGCTTCGATGTGAAGGATAAAGAAAATACAAAACTAATAACAAGATATTAAAAATATGTACAGTTAAGATTAAAAGAATATAAATTACACATGGATAAAAGACTCATTAGTTACTTATTTATATACCCCAATTGGCTGTATACAATTAAGAAAATACAATAGGTATATGGTTATAAATTATACATCAAGTAGAAATACAAAAATACAATACAATAGATCATTGAGCAAATGTGAGTTTTATTTTTGACAAAAAATAAATGTAATGTAGAATCTCCAAAAAAATCAATATTAGTTCAGTATTATTATGTGTGCTTTATTAACTGTACACTCAAATTGCCACATGCTTGAAAAATCTAATTTAGGTATTATGACCTCGTTTAGAAACTTGATATTTATCTTACAATTTCGTACCTACGATAATTTTTACAACCATTATCAAATCATTTTTAATACAAAATCCTCTTTTTTATTATTATTGGATGTGTTTATAATTGAAGTAATACGATGTAGAATAATTTCCCCAGCCGTTACACGAGTCTTCCTTCCCCATCCGCGTCGTTGACTACCGCGACTAGTAGTCGTTTCATAGTTTTCGTGCTTGGTGGTACATTAGTGTTGGCCGACCACGTGGAGAAAACAGGAAGAATAGAACTTACCAGGAATGTGGAACGACGTAAAAGACGCAAACTTTAAATTGCGAGTAATCCATCGCGCTGAACGAAAGAACAATAGTAAATCTGTACGGCGTTGGAGAGGTACGAATGGACGCCTGAAATCTTGTAATTCCACAAGGAAATGTTTCCATGGACCACAAGTGGGGCGCCATCCCGAAATCGACGTTGAAGTTGTCGAATTCGTCATTAATCGTAACAAGGCTTTCGGATTTTCTATAAACAGCATTCGCATGAAAGCATTAGAAGTAGCAAGAAGAAACATTTCCAGACAGCAGTTCAATGAGCGTCGGCTGGTGCATACGGTTTATGAGAAGGAAAGGGTTCAGTCGGCGTAGAACAACTTGCCTATCGTAAAAGCTGTCTGCAGATTATGAAGAAAAACTTCTGGAGTACCAAAAGTACATTATAAAATTGCGCCATCAACACAACAATTTGTTGAGTCAAATGGGGAATGCCGATGAGACCTCTGTGTACTTCGACATGCCTTATAACGATACATTAGCTACAAAAAGGTGTAAATCAGTTATGATAAAAGCCTCTAGAAACGAAAAAAATGATGTTACGGTCATGCTGGGAGTGTTGGCAGATGGCAGGAAGCAACCACTATTTGTTATCTTGAAAAGGAATAATTTGCCCAAAGAAAGCTACAAAGTGCAATAATTCTTAAATGCAATGAATCTGGGTGGATGACTGAAAGCTTAGTGATTTCTTGGCTTCAAGAAGTTACCGGGAGCCCTATTACAGCAGTGAGGATTGTTAACCCTTGATGCCTTTAGGGGTCTCCTTACAGAAGAAGTGAAAAGAAAGTTGCTAGTTTAAAAACAGATTTAGCAGTGATACCAGGAGGCATGACCTCACAGTTGCAAGTCCTTGATGAGACAGCGAACAAATCTTTGAAGCACCAATTCAGATGCCAATATGAGGAGTGGCTGTTATCAGAGAACTGCCCATTAACTTCTGACATCAAAAAACCCTCAGTTGGACAGCTTGGTCAGTGGATTCTAACTGCTTGGAATACTATATCAACTCAATACAAAGTAAAGGGTTTCAAAAAGTGCTGTGTTAGCAACAGTTTGGATGGCACAGAAGATGTGTTATGGGGTGAGAATGATGGACGTGAGTTGAGTGGCGATGAAACAACTGAAGATGATTGAGAGATGATTAAATGAATGTGGATGTGGTAAAATTGAAGTTTAATTCATGTACTGTATAAAATATTGATATGCACAAAATAATTTATGCCTAATGGTTTTTTTTTTGTTGTTGTTGTTGTTGTTGTTGTTGGGTAAATAAGGTATATACATTTATTTACTATTTCCAGTTGAAATGGATTTTGGATGCAATAAGTTACATTGTATTAACTTTACGTTTAACTAAAGAGCTACTAGATCTCAAGTTCTAAGTTAACTAAAATTAATTCTGGTAACCGAAATATCATGAAATTATTTATGTGAATCCAATAAATTAATTTCACGAGTCACAAGGGTTTTTATTTTGACTGTGGCATTTTCTAACACAAAACAAGACCTTAAATAGTGTGAATGTGGCAATCAAAATTTACAAAATTCATGCTGTTAGCTCCTATCATAAGCTGACTAATATAGAGAGAAATACATACTACATTGAAGATTAATTGTGGGATTCATCTACATGTGTGTATGAACATGAAATTTTCAGTCAACAAAATTTATTACAGTTCAGTTTTATCATGGAAAACTTGCACATTACTTTTCAATAATACATAGTGAGAATTTTGCATGGTGTTTTGCTGTAGCAATTTTTCTGTATTTAAGGGGAAGTAAGCTGCATATGGTGTATGTAGATAGATGAGCTTGTGTTCTAAAGAAAACCTGTCAATATGTACACAATACAGTGAAAACAAAGATGAAAGGTCAAGAAAAATGAAAAATGATGTTCTCCTGTGTAGGTTTTGTCATTAATTTTGTCGCTATTCTCTTTATTTAGAATTCATTTGCTTTTCATTGTTCTTGCATATTAGACAAGGTGTAAATAGTTTTAAAAAAGGGTTAATGTTTTCCTTGGAGCTTTAAATGAATGAAAGCAAACTTGTATTTGAGTATTTCAGCAAGTATTGTAGCATAGTAAAGCGATTGGATACACAGTAAATTTGTGACATTTTAATGGAATTATAATTATGATTTGATTTAGATTATAGTTAAACATGACTCCCAACTTTTGTGTTAATGTAGAAAAAACATGTTTGTTCATATGTATGTTATCTCTAATTTTTGTTTTTTGTTTTAATTAGGGTGGAGTTCCAGAGCAAGTTCTACAGTGGTCTTGGTTATACATTCCAGCCATTTTCATTTGAGGTAATTCTGGAAAGTGCTGCACAAAATGACGAATAATGTTATTACTATATAGATTTATTGTTAGTTCTGTCTTTTTGGAAAAGGGCTACAGGCTTTAATATGTAGTCAGAAACCTACTTCTGTTGTAATGTCTAAGAATTGTAAAAATAAGTGTAGATTCTGTTGTATGAATTGTGTTGTTCCTCTCAAGTCAGTGAAACTTGTAAGTAGTTTTTTCCAAGTGTGATTTCCACTGATATTATCTTCTTGTTAAGGAATGAATGTACATTAGTTTAACTGGCTAATGGCATGGTCTGAGCTGTGTTAACGTACAGTTACATAGATGAAGCTGTATGCTTGTGCATTCATTTCACCAATATTATGTAAGTGATGTGGGAAATGCCAAAAATAGATTTTTTATTAATTTTAAGTTTTCTTGTTAGTGTATGATTGGTAAATATTCTTGTGGTGCATTTGCAGTTATGAAATATGGTACCATGTCATGTACTGTGTACTTAAATGTAATTATATATAGTAAAATAAATAATTATAGCTGTTCAGGAACCAATTGTTGGTTTCATGGTATAAAGTTGCTCTTGTGTTTCGGTACATGGGAGAATAGTTTGTTAAAAAGAGAAAAGTATATAGATCTGAATATCAATGTATGCTTCAGTTTCATAGTATAAAAGTAGAAAATCGATAGTGTTAGGTATAAATGTTATAAAAGTAATTGTTTTCAAAAAAAGTCTTGTTCTAACAGGAAGAACATTATAATTGCATTTATGGGCTCAGAAAGCAAGACAGTATAGTGTGTCAGGAATTTGTCATCCCAACAGTATTAAACTTACATGATTTTTGGCAATTTTGCTTGGATCTACATGTGTATATGTATATTGTAATTTTTTAATCCAGATGTAAAATGAAATTGTCATGTTTTGTGGGGTGTATGATAGTTTGATATTTATGGAATTATATTAATTTGTTAAGGTGCACATACCCATTGTATGATATGTAATTTGCCAGGAAAAAGAAGTGGAACTGAAACTTCATTCCTTTTGCATGTGATTTATTTGTTGGAATATATTTAATAAATTGTAAAGAGCATGTACTTATACATTGTTTATACTGGAACCTTATTCACAAAATTGATGGCCAATCAAATATCAGTTTGGAGGAGTAGAAACCAGATTGTTTCAGGAGTATACCTGCATACAGAATTTAAAAATTTGATTTCATGAATGATAAACTGGATGATTAATTTGGTAAAGGTCTCTCTCATATGTCATTAAAATAATTTGAAATTAGTGACTGACAGACACTTATGATCCTGCGCCATTGAATGTATTCCTACAAGACCATTCTATCCTCATTGCAGTAATTTCATTCTTTGCTTTAAATTTGTGAGAGTGCCTTTTGGAATCCAATACATTTTAAACTGGATGCATTTATAAAAATGCAAGGTAACATGATCATTGGTATAAAATTATGTAATCACAAGATATCGCAAGAATTTGACACTTGTCCTTAGGTCCAAGAGAAGGTACTTTGCTTCACAATCTTATATGGAAGAATCTTTCTGGAAATTTTGAAAGTTTTGCACCTATTTCATGACTTTGAGGTATCCTGCCAACCCTGAAATGTAGTTTCCAAAAGGAAGAGGTAGAAAATTTGATAAAACAATTTCACATTAATTTTGTCAGACACCCAAATTGAACAAATTTTTTATTGTGTTAACATTTTACAATTTAGTTAGTACAGATTTTACATATTACTGCCAGTTAGAACTTACCATAAAATAGGTACAAAAAAGTGCCAATACATGACGTTTGCGCAATGCAGAAAATGCCTTTTAAATGCTTTGTGGCAACTTTAATTTTTAAATGCAATAAAAGAACAAAAATGATGTTTGTGACAAAGTAAAAATTTTTTAGTAATTATTTTACATTTGTATAATTTTCTTACAACAGTAACTTTTATATTATAAAATACTTTTACACTTCACTGATGGAATTGTATAATGAAAGAAAAGTTTTTATAATAAATATATAGTTACAACCATTTCATTAATCAAATAAATAAACTCTTAAACTTAATACAATAGAACTGAATTTTTGGGAGGGAGAAATTAATTTAAATCGATCTCGGCACTGAATGAGTTATTTGAAAAGCTTTTGGTTTTGGTTACAAAACATGTATTTTTAACAAATTTTATCAGTTTTTAATATTTTAACATTTAATAATAAGTAATACTCTTATCAGAAAATTGGATCATGGCTCAGGATCGTAAGGAGTATTCACATTGCATTCAACGCTTTGATCGCACTTCAAATAGAACCATTTCGCGAAGTAAATGAGCTATTTTAATAAACTATTCATTCTCTCTCTGGTCTTCGTAGCCCTGTCGTTGACCATTACTTGGCCATTGCCTGTTGCTCGCTTACGACTTCCTCTTAATGACAACATCAGTGCCCTCTATTTCGATCTCGTCGTACCTCCATTTTCGGTTCCTGCGGCATTCGTGGCCGCATTTGCACGAGCGACACTTCGGACAAGGGAAGTGGCAGCCTGGACAGTCATCGATTAGGCAGTCACATAAGTCTTCCCCAGTGCCCAGCAGCCTACCTTTGTGATCGTACAACCTCTGCTGGCTGGGTCCACGTTTCTTCTGTTTTCTCTCCTGCTTCCGCGCTACCCTTTGACTGCTCTGAGGGTCGAAGTCTCGCATGAAGTTTGAGTGAACGTTGATATCGAGCCTCCGGACGAGGGAGGCCTGGATTTCTGTTCCACTGGTGGTTCCCGCTGAACACGCTGGTTGCAATGGAACTTGAACTGTCTTCTCACCGGCAGGGTGTTCGCCTACATGAACATCGCTTTTCCGATTTGTGTTCATGGCAGAATCAAAACAGGATTTTTTTCGATTGTACTGACACTTGAAAACCGTTTAGTGGTACCTTCGTCACGTTTTCTTCCACAGTACAACTCGATTTCCCTAGGTCACTTCTATGGAACGCTGGGAGTACGAGAATTGGAAACTGGAACGAATCGAGTTTTGTTTTATGTGATTACGTAATTTTCCTTCAGCCAATCACTTTATAATGTGGCGGTAAAACTAACCAATGAGCATTAACGTTTTTAATGTTTGTAGAAAAATGCATAGTAAATAATAAAAACTTGAAATCAGATTTTCCACAGTATATATATATATATATATATATATATATATATGTATATATAGATATATATCGAAGAAAAAGACATTTGTTTCGTATTCTGGAATAACTAAGAATTTCAAATGGGGTTTTTTGCTGCTTGTATTGTCAGTTTCAGGTCATTATGCCCAGTTTTCTGTGGTTTATTGTATAGAAGGTCCTTTGCGAAAGTAGGTCCTCCAAATTATTATCCGTCTAATGTCACAAGATGTCTGAAATTAGAAATCCAATTACAACGGAAGTCTAATAGAAATCTCAGGTGTAATAGCAAAGCTTTCATTTATTCTTGAAAAACAAAAGTCAATTCAACAATATCAATTTATGTTCTAATGTTAATTTATTTTGTTCCCAACAGGCGTTTACGTAGCAGTGCATTGTTTTAAAATTCAGTAAAAATTACTACTATTAATACGTACACTATCACATTCATGGAAAGGGATCACCATGGAAATTACGAAAATTAAAACGATCATGGAAGATATCTATATATACTTACGATCTTTGATCTAGCGATTTAAATTCAAAACTCCGCCTACTAGTGAAAGTGATGACTGACCATCTACCATTGAATCGAACTTTTTATTTTATATTCGTTATTGTTGCTTTGTAAATTAAAGCAAGTGCTAATGAACATGCCTCTACTAGTGAGATTTCATTTTACACGGTAATAATCTAACATAATGATAACTTGAGCGGCGTTTTGTTCGGTATCTCTAATAGATCAAAATTAATTAGAATCCATGAATTTTGACATTTTTTAGAATAGATCCAAATTTTATTAGACATGTTTCCCGAGACTTTCTGTCATGAGACGTACAAAAAAGTACACAGATATTCTGGCATTGGACCTAATGCTCTCTTTTAAATGTATTGTATTATACTGGTGAGTCATGTCCTTTTAGAAACTCCTGTAGTTTTTGAACGGCCGAAAGACTGATATTGACATACCTAACGTGTTTTTTTTCTCCCCCAAATGGAACTAAGTAGATTTTTTGCCTATCATGCCGAGCGCAAAAAAACGAATCCGATGATATACAGTTTGTCGTATGTTAGATAATCCCTTTTTGAGTAATTTTGATTCTTTTGCGACTGGTATTTAATGGATATTTTGAATGTAATGTTCCGCCACACAAGGTCACGCAGTGGCACTGCGGCAGTGCTCTGCTTGTTAACGCGTGCCCGGGAAAGAGAAGATGAACGAAGTATTTGAAGATACGAAACGTATTTCGTATTTTCACAAAATTGTTGCAATTGTTTCCCGAACTCTGCTTTTCACCTTGACGCATTTTCAGATTTTTTGTCTTTCTTTGAAGGATTGAAAATAAGAATTTGTCGTAAGTATGTATTGAAATAATTTTGCTAATTGCTTCTGTTCCCTTTAATGGGATTTCATTATTAATGAGATCTTGAAACAGAACACAATAAGAATAAATAATTAATAGATATTGTACAAAGAATATTTCACATTTTGCGCAAAAATTTTTAATGATCATTTAATAATAAATCAGGGATAAAATATCCAGTAGGATGAAAAAAATAATTAATCATGAAAATTAAAACTAGTGCTAAACAGCACATACGTTGTCGCTTTTAGTAATAGTTATGTAATTCATTTTATTCTAGATATAGTACATACAGTTGTTTAATAAATTATGAAAATTAATCATTTGAAATTTTAGCTTTAGATTTAAATTCGGTAAAAAATCGCAATGTCTACGATTTTGCGGTGCGTAAGCAAAGACGGTATTGTCCAAGATACATTTTTTTTTCAGACAGATCAGCTAACGTTTTGTTAGAACATAGTATCTTTACAGTTAATGAATTTGACTGTTCTACGACAGTAGTTCAAACGTATGATCTGGAGAGGTGGCTCAGTGCTTCAAACAGATGTCATTGCAATGCCTCTGACCGGTAGGTCCAAGGCTCGAGTCCAGACGGTGTCAGGACTATGACACTAGCTATACAGCTAGAACGAATGTCGTTGTCTGGAGGAGAGTTCTACCGGGCAGCTGCTCTGATCGGTAGTTTTTCGTGGTTTCTCCGACTAACAGGCGTATGCCGGAGTATTACCCTAACAAACGGACCGTGCGTGAACTTTCCTTTCTCTTCCTTGTCTTATCCTTACTCACACACACACACTAGCATGCACTACACATGCCGGGAGACCCATCAGGAGCTAAGAGCTTGTCCCGGCTGGGGCGGTGCCCCGCTGGTGGGAGATACTTGATTGAGGAAAAACCCCGCTAGCCGACGGTAGGTCGGTGCCGGATCTCGCCATCCAGTGGGGAAAGATTATCGTCACTTACCGAGCAGAATCATGCACTACACTTACGGGACTAATTACCTCAGTGGTTGACACGCTCGGAATCACTAACAACCAACCACTGTACTGCTGTAATGGCAGGCGAGCAGATTTTGCAGGCAAAATTCGAGACTCTTTTAAATTGCAATTTTTGTCCATTGTTATGCTTATAAACTCAATCTTGTTTTATCTCAGTCATATTAAAAAAATGAAAATATTTTTTATTAATCTGTGAAGATTTTCCAGATCCTCGACTTCGTCCAAGTGCGCACATGCTTGATTTTACATACAAACCGGACATGTCTATACGTGCTCTTGCAATTTGTAAATTTTAAACATTTTATCAACTTTATTTTATTGATTTAAGTACACTAATGAATCTATCAACATCAAATTTAAATACATTATGAACACTAGCCATGAAATCAACTTAAATATCCCAAACGGTTCAGAAATTATTATTACTTTCTCGCCTTACGAACTCTTCCTAAGAAGAAAAAGTTATGTAATCTTGCGCCAGTAAACGTCGAAAAGAATAAAGCTTATTACGAGTTCTGGAGACGAAAAAGTACATAAATCCTGTTGCTAATTTTTTTTAAAAAAGCTCTAACTTGTGTTGCTAGAACCCATGTTTTGTTGGTTCTTTATATCGAAATATCGATTGACTGCAAAACGCCTGTCTGTCCGTCTGGTTAACGCTTACGCCTAAACGTTCAGCTGATTGTCTTCAAAATTGATATTCCCTGATCGATCTTACCGGACTGGAGGCTTTGGGAGTTTCTAGCGGATATTTTGATAGTTTAAATTTTTTTTACATCAATCGGGCATTTACCTTTTTACACCTTTGTCCTGGTTCGATCCATGCAGCGCTTCTGTGGTGTAGTGGTGTGAGTACCGGCTCGTTAAGCCTGGGGAGTTCGGGTCTCGCAGCGGAAAAATAATTAGCTGCTCGCCAACACTTTTGGTAGTTATGTAGTATTGTATTTTTGCGGAGCTTTTAGAAACAATGCGAGAAAGTATGTGCTTCGGTAATACCACTAGTTTCTTTACGCCACATGATTGAAATTATGAAAAATGTTTTTACGTTCTAAATGAAATTAAATTTGAAAGTAATTATAATGTATTAAAATAATATGCAATTTACAATTAAATATACGAGCATTGTGTGGAATGCTCTGATCGAGAACTTTCAATGCAGTTTTCTCAAAACACAATTTAGGAGTATAGGACCTTCTTCTAGCTACCGCCTCAATTTTTACTTTCCCATATATGTACGTATATACGTGGTATAGGAAGTTATGTAATGCTGAGCCAGAAAAGGCAGATTTTCAGCAGAAACTAGTGATGCTGCAGAATGGCACAGACTTCCCCGTATTCGTTTTCTATTTCCTTTGGTCTCGGCTAGCTACTCGGACTTGCCACATATTCTTCCCAGCTGCCATTTATCACCGTCCAAATTACATAGTTTTGACATTTTGTTAATTTTTCGGCTTCCTAATTGTAGAACGGAAATATTTTTTATATTATTAAAGAACAGTACAACCTTGTCCAAAATGGCAATTTTCTCTGAAAAATTTGGAGCCGTTTTTAAGAAAAAGGCCCTTAAGCGCGCTACAGTATATTCGACATTTGAAGCTCTTTTTCGCAGATAATTTTTGCTATGCTAGTTTTCACAGAAAACGGTTGAGTATTCGAGAAACTTTATGTGACGTCATTTAAAGTACACGTACTCATAAATAGAATAGTGTGAACAAATTGCCGCGAAAATAAATATAAACGACATGAGAAACAAGACAAAAAAATCATTTTGTACTTTTTGAAGAAAAAAAGAATAGAGCAATATGACGTTTATGTCATCTGATAGAGTACATTTAGCACGATCCCTAACAAAATTTTAAATAAAAAATTGGAGCCGTTCTTGAGTATATCTTGTTTTTGTAATATTTTAAAATTGCACAAAATGCACACAATATTGCGCGAAAACTACTAAAATTTTCAAAAAAATATACATGACCTTAATGAAATAACAAATTATGGACAACAAATTTTATTTGAAGGAAAAATCTCTGCCTTCAATTTTGTAGTGGTAGGAAGAGGCTGAAAAATTCAAACTTTTGAAATTTTCGAAAATTCAGAGTTAACCAAGTGAAAATCGGACCTATGCCACATTTCTAGGTGCATTTCACTCTATTCTTATAAGAAATTTAAAGAAAAAATTTGGACCCATTTTTGAGAAAATCTTCAAAATATCCCAGGGGTTTCATGTAAAGTACCCCAAAAACTATAATGAATGATTTTCAAAATCGTAGAGCTTTGACTCAGGACAAATGGACAGAGGTTTCTTCAATTTGAAAAAAATCCTATGCATGCTAGTGTTGTTCACATATACCAGACGGACGCACAGACAGACAAACGGACGGACAGACGTTATGTAAAAAGCACTGTTTTGGTACCAGGGGACTGCAAAACGTGTATTTCCATTGAAGTTTCGAAATAGATTTTCCACAGCATCACTTTCCTTTCCCTATACTAAGTAATTTTTTTCGTATTTACGTACGTTTACGGGAAAGTAATCTTTTGTAGTTTGAAACCTTTAATAGTTTTCGCGCAATTATGCAATTAAAACAAACAAGATTTTTTCAAAAGCGGCTCCAATTTTTTTCTTTAAAC